AAATATTTTTTTAAAAAAAATCAAAAACAAAATATAAAAAGAATGAGATAAGGAGAAATTACATGCAGCAGGTTGGAGAAGTAAAAAAAAAAAAAACTAACATATAGGGGGTGCAACCCCATGTCCCTTTTGGTGGAAGATTGTATAACATTTTTCTATCTAAAATTGCTAGTACCTCACTTGTGCTATGCGCGGTATAAATAATATATTATTTATTAAAAATATGATAATTATATTTAATATTTTTATATTTTATCTTTTGTAAATAAAATTTTATATATAAGTTTAAGGGTTGTGTTTTAAATGTTCATTTACTATAATATATAGTATAAATAGATTAAAATTGTTGTATTGACAAATAATAATTAAAATAATGCTTTGATATAAAAAAAAATGACATAATTCTAATACTTCACTATTTTAGAATAAAAATATATGAATTTTAAAAAATTGTCGTATTGGTTTTTGAAAGGGAAATAATTAAAGAAATTTTAAAAACTTAATAAGTACGAAAGAATTATCGTAACATGTAAAATAGCTAAAATCACTGTTAAACCAACAAATCATTCAAATTAAAAACGGTTTAGCTTAATCAGTTAGATCAAAAGACTAACCAGCTCACACAAAAATTAATTAATTAAAATTTTTAAATTTTATTTTATTAAAATTTAAACTGTAACTAAATATGAAAAACAATCTATTAATTTAAATTTAAAATTGATACAATATAAATTTAAAATTATAATAATCTATCCCATGATTTATAAGTTTTCAATACAAATTTAAAATTATCATAATTATCTCATAATTTTTGTATTAAGGAGCAGTAAGAGTAACGTCAAGATTATTAATATAACTATATATTTTACAAAAATATATTTTTAAAGAGAGATATTATGAGAGTTTCAAAATATCATACAAAATTATTTTTAAAATCAAAACCTTTACGTGGGATTATAAAATAAAAATTATAAGAAAATCAAAAAAATTAGTATGAGATATTGATCATAAGGCTTCTTACTAAAAATCTCATTTTGTTTACATAAATGGAAGCATAAGATTTACTTTATGTTAGTGAAATAATTCACTTTTTCAATTTTTTTTCTCGATGTGGAATTATAAAATAAAAATTAAATGGAAGCTAGCAAATGAGAATTTTCTTAATGGTTTAAAATTAAGAAAATTCAATAATTTATATAAATGGGAATATAAGATTCATTTTATGTAAGTGAAATAATTCAATTTTTCCTTCTTTTCCCATCGTGGGATTGCAAAATAAAAGGCAAGTGAAAGGTAGTCAATAGGAATTATCTTAATTGTTTAACATTAAGAAAATTCAATAATTTTAAAATGAGAGTTTTGAACTTCTAGAAGGTTTCTCCCTAAAAATATCATTTTCCTCATATAATATATAAATTTCCCTGATAATAAACTGGATATGGTGTGGTTGTTGTGTCTTTCGCATATTAGCCACCGTTGTGCGCTATTGAAATCTATTTTGGAGTCTGTTTTAATAATCTGACCCATTCATTTTTTAAGTCACATCAAAAAAAACATACTTGTAAAAAATAAAATTAATTGAATATTAATAACTTTTCCATGTAATCATATTTGTATTTAATTTTATAATTCAAATTACATTTGTCATTGATTTTTGCACATACAAGTGTAATTTGATGAGAAGATTATTGATAAAAAAAATTAAACATCTTAAATTATCAAAATAAATCTTGAAAAAGACACCAATAACCTCACAACAATGCACAATCCCCACAACATCTCTCAATAAACTGAAATAAATAAATTGGAAATTAAATAATAATAAAAAAATTGAGTGAGATAGAGAAGACAACACAAAACAGAAAGAAACGCGCAAGTCTCGCAGAAGGGTGCACCTCCCTTCCTCTCTCTCTCTCTCTCTCTCTCTCACTTTCAACGCGTTTCCTATCTTCTGTTCTGTGAAGTGTGATGAACGATTATGAGCTGTGTTTGGTATTCATTTGATCATCATTTCTATCTTTTGAGTCTGTCATATAAAATTTTAATAGAGAACTTTTTTAAAAAAACTTAATAATATAAATTATATAAAAAAATGATCAGCTATTTTTTTTTAGACAAATTACATATATCTCCCTAGAGATTTAGCTAATTACAGATACTCTCTGAGATTTGAAAAATTACAAATATCCTCTTGAGATTTATATTTTCATAACAAATTATCCTCTGAAGTTTATATTTTTATAACAAATTACCTCCTAATTTATTATGTAAATTTAATCTTCATGAGGTATCTATAATTTCTCAAACTAGAGGATATTTGTAATTTGCCTTTTTTTTAAAGATGGTTCAAATGATCAGCTATTTACATGGTGGTGAGGTGAATCCCGTGATCTCTGGACCCACTAATATGTAAGTGGTTGTTATTACAATTTTTATAACAAAAATGCTAGAGGCCCTCAAAATTCTATTAAAAGTTTTATCAAATGTCTCATATGGGTGTGGGACCCACATGAGACCCACATTGTGTGGGTCCCATACAGACATTTGGTAAAACTTTTGATAGAATATTTGGGGTATGTAGCATTACTCTTTTTATAATTTACCATGCAACCGTAGCATAATCAGGCTCCTCAATCTGTTAGTCTAAGGCGTAATTTTTATTCATAACGTATGAGATAAAATAATTTAAATTAATTTTAAATAAATTTTTTAAGTTGAGAAAATTTGCATCGTATTTTTTTTAATATGTTTAGTGTATTATTGATTAAATTTCTCGTTTGGGGAGTGGCTATTTTAGTCAAAAAGTTAAAAAACCAACTAAAACTAGTCACATCACCTCTCTACTTTTCTGCACATCTTTTCGTAAAAAGTCAAAAAATTATTAAAATAGCCTATTCCCAAACGAGGCTTAGCGAGAAAAGTTTCTTTTCATAGTTTACTTAAAAAAATTAGTTTATTGGCTAAAAAAAATATTAAAAAGTATGTTAAAAAAATTAATTTATTTGACATATTGGATTGTTTGGTGCATCTAAACCAAAATGTTATGCAAATATAAATCTTAGGGGATAATTTGAACTTCCCAAACTTCAAAGGGAAATTCGTATTTTAGTCAAATTTCGAAGGGAGTGTTGATAATTTGCTTTTTAATTTATTACATACTCAATTATATAAGACTCAACTCTATTGCAATACTATTATAAATTATGAATTTCTAACAATCTGTTTTATTTGAAAATTTCAAAAGCAATTTTATAGGTTTCTAATTCATATTTTTTTGTTTTTAATAAATTTTGTTAACATTGTAATTAAAAAAATTACCTTTTCGATTCATTTAAGGGCTAGTTTGGCATGTACTAAATAAGCCAAAAAGTCAAAAAGTCACTATCTTATTTAAGTCACATCATCTTATTTAAATCACATCACCTCTCTAACACATCACATCAAATCCAACCCAAACCCAACCCAAACCCACCAATAAGTCAAAAAGTGCACTTTTTTAGGACATTCCAAACCAACCCTTAATCTATGTAGGTAAGAAGTCCAAAATTTGTGCAAAAAAAAATTCATTAAATACAAAAACAATTTTATTTTTTTTTTTGCAGAAATCTTTTACTTCTTTTAGCCTTTTGGAAAGTTTGGATAATAGCCAAAAAAATCAAAGAAATATACCCCCAAAAAAAAAAACAATCAAAGATCCTTTACCCCTATACTGTTTGTACTTTTTTTCATAAAAAAAATCATCTTAAATATATTAATTTTTTTCATACCATATTTTAATAAAAAATCAAAAAAATTACTAATATAGTATATTTTCAAAACAATCCTTAAATATATTTAGATTAGGTGAATTTTAAAAACTAAGAACAATTAATAAAAAATAAAAACATATATAAATTCAAAATTAAAACCAAACAAATTTGTTTAAATTTTTATAAACAATTTTTGTAGTGACAGTCAAACGAAGCCGAACAAAGCGGTATTTAACGAAGCCGAACAAAGCGGTAAAAATAAATAATAATAATAATAAATTCAAACGCCCGATTGTTCTAACTCTTAGAGCATCTCCAACCCACTAGACATATTATGCTTGTTAGTCAAAATGTCTAGTATAACTCATTTTTTTCAACTCCAATGCACTAGGCATATGATTAGGCATTTTAGCTCAACTCACATTCACTAGCTACATGTAGCTAGCCTTCAAGACTAGGCAAAATATATTTAATCATTAGGATCATTTCCCTCCATCTTTCTTGCTGATGTGGCATTTTATAAAATTAATCGTATTTAGATAAATAGCTAAAATAAAGAGCATGATTGGAGTAGAAACATAAAATAGTTGATAGACAAAATAAAATATATACTTTATAGTAATATTTAGATAGGTAAAATGCCTATTACCGTTGGAGATGCTCTTACCATTGCTATTACTATTCAATAATAATAGAAATCCTCACAAAATACAAGTATTTTTTGAGAAGCACTAAAAAAGTTAGTTTTTAATTTTTTACTCATTTTGAATACATTATTTCTCACATTTTTTACTTATAAAAAAACAAAATAAATTAAAAAAATTAAAAAATCAATTTTTTACTCACTTCCAAAACTTTGCACAATCTCAAAACCTTTAAAATGATTTAAATCATTTATGTAGAAAAAATAAATTCGAACACATCAATAATTGTCGTAGAGTACTTCTTAAAGTTATTTGGAGTGTCTTAAATAAGTGCACTTTTAATCTTTTTAGACTAAAAAATTGAGGAAAAAAATATAGACGTTTGGATTAACTTTTTAACTTTTTATGAAAAAATATGTATTAAAAAATTATATAAATTAGTGTGTAGAAAAAAATTAAGATTAAAAATTATACAACCTGACTTTTTGACTTTTTATAAATAATAATAACTTTTTAATTTTTTAAAATTTTTTTTAATTTTTAGAAGTTCCAAACATTTTCCCCATCAGTCTCAGACGGAAATAAAATAAAGAGTGCAAAAGCGGCCAGCTATTCTTTCTTCAAAACTTGTTCGATAAACCAATCTCCTACTTCTCTCTCTCTCTCTCTCTCTCTCTCCCTCCCTCTTCAACTCTCTCTCAATTTCAAACCCTAGTCTCTCTCTCTAATTTCAAACCTTGCATATCGATTTGGCAGAGCTATGGCAGTTATCTAAAAAAATGGCTTGAATCGGAGTTTCTTCATTTGGATCTCTTCGTATTTTCATTCATTTGAAGGTAGTTTATCTGCTGCATTAACTTTACTTCTTCGCTAATTTTCAGTTCAAAGTCTTCGTTCATCGATTTCGAGCCTAGTTGTTTGCTGGATCTGGAAACTTACTGTTTTTTCTTATGCTTAGTTCTGTTTAATTGAACTTTGTTCTAGATTTCAAGCAGATTTATTTTTCATTTAAATGCTAGATTGATGAGCCTCAGATCTTGTGTTTTCTGCTGTTCTATTAGCATCACATGTTTCTGTTTTTCTGATTGAATTTTGATTGGATTTGAGATAAAGTCTAGCAAATTCAAGTGTTTTGAAATTGATTTTCTGGTCACAATTAATTTCAGTGTTGTTCTGGGGAATTATCGGCACATTTACTCCGATGAGGAATTCAGATAAATGTCAACGCTTTTTGATCTTTGGATTTCTCTTCTTGGCCTCTGTGTTTCGTTTAATCTCAGCTGCGAATTATCTTCCCACTGATGAAATTTTCCTAAACTGCGGGGCAGCTCCGCAAACTTCTGATGCCGATCGCCAATGGACTTCGGATATCGGGTCAAAGTTTGCGCCTGCAGCTGGGAATTCATTGACAGCTACTGCTTCTGCTCAAGATCCTTCTGTTCCTACAGTCCCTTACATGACCGCTCGGATTTTCAAATCCGAGTACACCTATAGTTTTCCTGTATCTTCTGGTCGGAAATTTGTCCGTCTGCACTTTTATCCTGCTTCTTACTCGGGGCTAAATGCCTCAAACGCCATATTCTCAGTTGTTGTTGGAGAATATACCCTTCTCAAGAACTTCAGTGCAGCTCAAACAACTCAAGCTCTGAACTATGCTTTTATGATGAAAGAGTATTCTGTCAATGTGCCTGATTCCACCTTGAACATAACCTTCAAGCCTTCTAGTACTCCAAATTCGTATGCCTTTGTGAATGGGATTGAGGTAGTTTCGATGGCTGACATTTACAATACTGCTGATGGAGCTACCTTCATTGTTGGGCAAACTGGACCATATTATATAGACAACAGTACGGCTCTTGAAAGTGTTTACCGGTTGAATGTCGGTGGAAATGACATTTCACCCTCCCGTGATACTGGGATGTTTAGGTCCTGGTATGATGATTCACCGTTCATCTTTTCGGCAGCATTAGGGGTTCCACAAACTATTAGTCCAGGCATGAATATTACTTATCCTTCCAGCATTCCCACTTACGTTGCGCCAGTTGATGTCTATGCCACTGCCAGATCAATGGGTCCAACAGTCGCGGTTAACGAGAATTACAATTTAACTTGGATCTTCTCAGTTGATTCAGGGTTCTCTTACCTGGTTAGGCTGCATTTCTGTGAGGTTGAAGAAAATATAACTAAAATTAATCAGAGAGTCTTTGATGTCTACCTTAATAATCAAACTGCTGCGTATGCAGCAGACGTGGTTGGTTGGGCAGGACACAATGGAGTTCCAGTTTATAAGAATTATGTGGTCGTGGTTCCCAATGGGGCTCCGCAGCAAGATCTTTGGCTTGCGCTGCATCCAAACATTGCCTCGAAGTCGCAATACTATGATGCGATCTTGAATGGACTGGAGATATTTAAAGTAAATGGCAGTACTGGAAATCTTGCTGGTCCTAATCCAGTCCCTGCTCCAGTACAAGACATAATAGACCCATCATCAGCTTATCCATCCCACTCAAGTCATTCAAAGAATCAAACAGCTATCATTGGTGGAAGTGTCGGTGCTGCCATTGCTGCACTCCTTGTTGGTTTATGTGTTTGTTTTGTTTCTCGTCGTCGGAGGCTGGGGAAGTATTCAAGTCCAAGTGATGGACCATCTGGGTGGCTCCCTCTTTCTTTATATGGGCATTCACACTCTGCAGGCTCGGCAAAGACTAACACCACAGGAAGCTACGCCTCTTCCCTCCCTTCAAACCTTTGCCGCCACTTTTCATTTGCTGAAATCAAGTCTGCCACCAACAATTTCGATGAGGCTCTGCTTCTTGGGGTGGGAGGTTTTGGCAAAGTTTACAAGGGAGAAATTGATGGTGGAACAACTAAGGTTGCAATTAAGCGTGGCAACCCCCTCTCTGAGCAAGGTGTGCATGAATTCCAAACCGAGATAGAAATGCTCTCGAAACTTCGACACCGCCACCTTGTTTCACTGATTGGTTATTGTGAAGAGAATTGTGAAATGATCCTTGTCTACGATTACATGGCTTATGGAACCCTTCGGGAGCATTTATACAAGACCAATAAGCCACCGTTACCTTGGAAGCAGAGGCTTGAGATATGCATTGGAGCTGCTCGTGGTCTACACTATCTCCACACCGGTGCCAAACACACTATTATCCACCGAGATGTCAAGACCACGAACATCCTACTAGATGAGAAGTGGGTGGCAAAGGTTTCTGATTTCGGCTTGTCAAAAACAGGTCCTACATTGGATCACACTCATGTCAGCACAGTTGTAAAGGGTAGCTTTGGGTATCTAGATCCCGAATACTTCAGGAGGCAACAACTGACAGACAAATCTGATGTTTACTCATTTGGAGTAGTACTCTTTGAGATCTTGTGTGCTCGGCCAGCTTTGAACCCGGCTCTTCCAAAAGAGCAAGTGAGTTTGGCAGAGTGGGCTTTTCATTGCCAGAAGAAAGGTATTCTCGATCAGATCGTTGACCCGTATCTGAAGGGGAAGATTGCACCGGAGTGCTTCACAAAGGTTGCTGAGACAGCAATGAAGTGTGTGTCGGATCAGGGAATCGACAGGCCATCAATGGGTGATGTGCTGTGGAACCTTGAGTTTGCTCTACAACTGCAGGAGAGTGCAGAGGAGAGTGGAAAGGGCCTTGGTGGAATGGACATTGAAGATGCGTTTGATGTCAAATGCAAAGGAAAGTCGGATCATGATACCTCTCATGGCTTTGATGGGAATGTGACCGATTCAAGGAGCAGTGGGATGTCAATGAGCATAGGTGGCCGGAGTCTAGCTAGCGAAGATTCTGATGGATTGACACCGAGCGCTGTTTTCTCACAGATTATGAACCCAAAAGGGCGTTGAGATCTACTCAAGTAATCTACTCAAGTAAATTTTCTTTCTCACAGTTTCATTTACTTGCTATTTATCATTTTGGGCTCGTAATATGTTTTTTTCTATTCAAATTCACTGTACGATGTATGTAAAATTACATGACAGTGTGTGATAAAATAATTTGTTGTCCTTTTTATATTTGCAGATGATGACATGAATTCATTTGGGTTTTTGTGTTTTGATATGATTTTATGCTAGATGGTTACAAAGATATTTGTCTATTCAATTAAATTCATTCATCATGAATTAGGGCTTTCACATGTAGACATGGGATATATATTGATGTTGTTGTTACCTAACGTTGAATGAAATGTTTTATTGTAGGGCTTGGTTAAGGTGTCAATAAAGACTTAAAAAAAAAAAAATTATATTTTATATATGTAGGAATATATATGTATGTAAAAGACGCAGTAATCAATAAAAATGAAATGAGGGGGGAGAGCTGTTTGTTGCTTTGATTACGCGGATGGTTTGGTTGCTAATGGTTGACTAAATTTTGGAGAGAGAGAGAGAGAGAGAGTAGATTTTAGGAATAAAAGTGACATTAGAAATCAATGATGTGTATTCAAGAGTCGAATATTATATGGGTAATGGTAGGAATATCCAATTTTTTTATTAAATTCTATAAATATTGAGCCATTCATTTAACAGAAAATTCGAGAGTTTTTCATATTATATTGGATGGTGACGTTGATTTACAATTTGTGTCGTGCTGGCCTGTTGGTTTATGTGCATTCATTGTTGAATGGGATGGGATTGACAGTGGTAGAGCCTACAAGCATTACAGGATTATAAAACTCTTTTAAGGAGAGGAGTAGCAATCTGATGGTGGACTTGGGTTTGTTAATCGAATCCAGAATTGGAAGATTGGATGTGAAATGACCTTATTGGTCCAAATAATAAATCAAGTGTACATATAATTTTCATAAAATATGACATTATGTGAGACAAATAATTGTATATGGTAGATCTCAACACACGTAAGACTTGCAATTTATTTCATATTTGTGACTTATGCTATAAAAAATTGGGAAAATTACAAATCAGGTTTAATTTTTTAAAATAATTATATATTAATGAAAAATTATAATTTTAATAATTAAAACTTATAAATTTTACCATGAATTTGAATTTTTTTTCCAGTCATCCATTGATGGGTTATTTCCCTTAAAAAAAATTATTGTACAACTTTGGAAAGAGGCTATTTTATCTGAAGGTGTTTGAGGAGTGATTATTTTAAGGAAAATTTACCCATAAGACCTAGTTTCTGAAAAGTTGAACCATTTAGTCTTAAAAGATTTCTTATGCTCCATTTAGTCCCATTTGCACATCAATCTAATATTTGAAACATTAATCTGATGTTCAAAATCTAATATTCAAAACATTAATCTGATGTTCGAAATCTAATGTTCGAAACATTAATCTGATGTTTGAAACATTGTAATGGGACCTTTCAGTCTATAAGAAAACTTTTAGGACTAAACAGTGTATAAGTTATTAATTTGGGATTTATTGGTGCATCCCCCTTATTTTAATTGATTTTATAGTTTTTTTTTTTTACGAAAATATGTATAGAAAAATAGAGAAAGTGATATAATAATTAAAAAAAAACATCCTTTTACTCTTCTTTCTACACTTTTTTTTATGAAAAGCTTTTTTTTTTCCCTCTTTTTTCAAACACACACACACATATATATATATATATATATATATATATTCATTTCATATTTTAACAGAGATACTAAAAATCCCAACCCAAATGATTCCACTTGGACGGTTAACCCAGACGCCACTAACAAAAGACAAAAACCAGGTATATATCATATTTTTTCAATCAAAAAATTTAATATAAAATTAATAATATTTTAAAAAAAATTTAGCAATTTATATATGTCATGTAATAATAAAAATTTTAAAAAAATCATTACAGCATTTACTTTATTAATTTGATAATGTCACATTAATAAATAAATTCAATTTAAAAAATTTGTTAATTTACAATAGCATATTATTCCTTCTCAATTCCATCCCAACCCTCCCCGGTCACCCCCAACCTACGCAACCCTCTGCAAAATCCTAGCTGCAAAAGAGTCAAGTAAATCACAATTGCGAAGGATCGACAAAGAGAAATGCGGAGGAAGATGAATAAACAGTGCCACCCTAAACAGACTTAAAAATAGTAATAAAAAAAAAAATACACTCTGGTATCAAATTAAAGATGCATCACCCCACCACATCCAACTGTCATTTTCCTAAGGCTCTGTTTGGATCGTGAATTTTAATAAAAATTTAAAAATAGACAGGTAATGACTGTTGAATGGGGAGAGGTGTTTGATCATTTTCACCCATCCCTATATAAATCCATTATCCAAACACAACTTGGGGAAAAATGTGATAAAACAGTGTCTTCAAATGCAACCTGTGGGAACCCAATCTTCTTCTACTCAAGTTGGACATAAAGAAGGCTTGAATACAATTCTATCTATGGAAGAAGATTCTATTGTTCCTTTGTAAACAACCTATACTCGGTCCCAATAGCCTTTGGTTCTTCTGATCAACTACCTTTACATTTGAATGTCAAACAACAAACCCATTAAAAGAATTAACAGCACAAACAGCAACAATTTTGATAGTTCAGTATCTCCATTTTTCTCAAAATTTGAGTGCCAACAATATATACCCAAGGTTTTTTTGTCTCCTGCAATCCTCAATAAAACAACACACTTGGCAACAATTTACAATTTCAAGACATTGAATATAGACTATTCCCACAAGAATCACAAGAAGAAGAGTGATTGCTCCTCTGGAAACTCAGCGAATGAGAGAGGGAACCACCAAACAGTTTATTTGTAAATTGGGGGCACTGAATCTGCAATTGCAATTATCTTCTTTTGTAGCTCTGGTTTGTTGGCTCCTACTAGTTTGTCAACTTGCTGTCCATCTCTAAGAAAGAAGAAGGTTGGTGTGGCTTTGATATCCCACGATGTACTGAATTCCTGCACCAGAAAATAATACAGAGTTTGTTTCCAACAAATTTCACTTATGCTACAAAATCATTCCACTAAATTACACACACACACACACACACACAAAAAAAAAAGAATGAATAAAAATCTCACCACACCATTTGCTTCAAATGTTAATGCTCTGTTAATTTTCCAACGGAAGAAAACATAGAAAACGTTTTCCTATGTTTAGTTGCGACTTTGAAACTAATGTGCTAGTAGGTGTATTAGTAGTGGTGGAGGTGGTGGTGGGTGGGGCAGTGGAGGCAGTGACAGTGGTGGTGGTGACAATGGTGGTGGGGTGTTGGAGTCCGGATCATCTAGAGTGATTTTTCCTAAAGTGATCCTTGAGTATTTTTTGAGTGGCAAAGATTTAATTCTGCAAAAGTGGAGGGTACAATAATCAAAAGCTGATGGTACAACAACCATACAAAAATCTAGAAAAAATCACGCTATATGATCCGGACTTGGGGTGTTTACGGTGGTGGTGGGGTAGTTGTTGTAGTGGGCCGGTATTAGTAACACTTAAATCCAGAAAACATTTTTCACCTTTCAGAAGTAGAGATAAAGAACATTTTCTGTCTAAATAAACCTGTTTTCCATGAACTACAGAAACCATTTTCTATTGACTTTCATTTTTCATTGTACCAAACACCATAAAATAAGAAATATATTTTCCACAGAAAAAAAAACAGAGTGCAAGTTTCTTAAAAGTAATTCTGTTAAAATGGGGCACATAATGAGCGGTAAGGTCTTTGAACCGCTAGTGACAGAAATGTCAATTCTACTTTCGTTTTCAAGTTTACAATATGATTCCATTTACTTACAGCTAGCTTGTCAACATCAACAGTCAGGTACATTAGAGAAGGGTATTTCTCAGACAGCTCGCAGTAGAACGGTGCAATCACTTTACAAGGACCACACCATGTTGCACTGAAATTTGCAACCACCTGTTGAGCAATCAACTAGAATTAAAAAAGGGTCACCATGAAAGATCACTATAATATATATTTTTTAATAATAATAATAATAATAATCAAAGAACGAATAGTAACCAAAATTCCCAAAGAAACATGTAGAGTTAAAAGAGGGTAACCATGAAAGGTCACTATAATAATAATAATAATAATAATAATAATCAAAGAACAAATAGAAACCAAAATTCCCAAAGAAACATGTACATCATGGTAAAGTGAAGCCTAATCAACACAGAGGGTAGCACACAGAAACCATAACTCAGTTCTCATAATAATTTCCCATGTATACCCTCTGTTTGTTTCAGCCGAAAACATTTTCTATTGACATTTTTTTTCCAAAAAATATTTTCCAACAAATACGTTTTCCTATGTTTGGTTGCGTCTTTGAAATTAATGTACTACCGATTGTATTAGTGGCAGTGGGTGGTGGTGGTGGGTGCAGTGGTGGAGGTGATGGTGGCATTGATAAGACTTTAGTCTGGAAAACGTTTTCCACCACCTTTTAAAAGTGGAAAACGTTTTTCACGCAAATAGACTCATCTTTTGTTGACCATGAAAAACTTTTTTGCTATTGATTTTCGTCTTCTGGTGTACCAAACGCTAAAAAATACAGAAAATGTTTTTTCTACCCAGACAAACAGAGCACAATTCATCAAAAAAACAATAAATCAGTTCAAGTTCTTCAGACAGTACGAAGACTGGGGCTCCTGAGAGCAGTTGTTATGATGTTCTTATATACTTACAATCTTGCCATCCTTCCTTGCTTCGGACAGCTTTTCATCCCAACTTTCTTTGGTCGTGATGAGTTGCACATTGCCACCAACAAACGTGTCATTATGATCAGAATCATCGCCATCATTCCGAGTCTACAAAAATGATTCAAATTACAACTTTTATGTCAAATAGATTAAAAGGTTAGATTCTCAAATTACAATGCAATGACACCAAGGCTTCATTTGGATACTAATTTTTGAAATGAAGGGATTTGATATTAAACTTTATAAAACTGTAAGAAGGTTGATTAATGGATACAGATTGGTAATTCTAAAGTAAAGGATGCATAGAGATTGGAAAGATGCATTTTGTCAATATTTTTGTACAAGCAGAATCATACGTGGAAGGATTTCAAATAACTATGTTTACTTGGTTATTTCAAAATCATTAATCTAAAACTCTCAAATCCATTTGTCATGTTTTGCATTTTTTGAAAATTGTCATGATGGTATGTTTGTGTTGATTTTTGTGTTGGTGTCCGTGCTTTTTAGAAATAGATTAATAATCAACAGAGACCATGATATATATCACGTAATCCAGAGATTGACTGAACCATAGCTATCAGAATTGCACTGGTCATCAAGCCAGTGGTTCACGTTCAATGTTTCACCATTGGGTCAATCAGTTGAACCGTTCTTATAAATCAGATTTTTCAAATATATCCATTCATGTAAAAAGTGAATTAAGTGTGTGTGTGTGTGTGTGTGTGTGTGTGTGTGTGTGTGTAATGGGTGAGTGATGGAATGATGCACAAATAAAATTTCAGAACAGTAATTGTGTGGTGCTAAGACAACACTAGTTGCTTAAGTTTGAGCCTCATAAGGCTCAATTCTCAACCTCTTATCATAACGAAGCAAACACTGGATTGGACTGACTGGTTCATCTCAATTTTCAAAATTGTCCAGCCTATGGTTGGTCATTTGGTTCACTATGGCTCAAGAAAAAATTCAAGATTTTGAACCAAACCAGCTCAGCTTCCAGTTAATGGTTGAACCAGTTCAGCTGGCTGGTCCAGTCAGTTAAAAACAGAGAAAGAAAAACTGGTAAAGACAAAATACAACGGAAAAAAGAAACAAGACCACATAAAAGTACCAATAAGATCAGAAAAAGGAACAAAAAACCACGGCAACAGTACCAAAGGCATCATAGAAAAGTGGAACTAAATACATATATACAGATTAGGAACCACCGGCTTTTTTTTTTAACTGTATGTAATTCATTGGAAAGTATATTTTTCTTCGCTGTTTATACATTAATTACATAGATAACATTTTAAAAAAGATTACCTTAGAAAAGCAAAGCCCCATCTTGATTTTCAGAGAAAGCTGATTGTGCTGAACCCTAGCTGTAGTACCATGAAAGTCAAATTGAATTAAAACAAAATCTCACCATTACCAAAATAAAACAACCAGCTATATTCATTCTATTATATGCTTTATATATATGAAAAAATAGCTAATCACAAATACAGAGCACTTTGAGCCCTCCAAGTTCAACAAAAGAAAATGAGTTCACTAACTGAGAGTCTAAACCTTCTACTTCGCTGGCAACAAATATAGGTTTTTTGAATTCATATGTATTTATGAAGTTTACCTTTCTATCATTATTTTCTCTCCTACCAAACAGAGAATCGCATAGCAAGAGCAGATATCTAGTAAAAAAAAATCTTTCTTGATAAAATAAAAACAAACCAGAGAATAATAGAAAATACCCATAATCTAAATGATAGTTAAAACGCCAAAAATCATCAAATTTGGGCCAAAATGAATTATAAAAAAAATTGAAAAAAAAAAAAAAATTCTATATAAGAACAGTATATACATCAATCAATACACATGTAAAACTGAATCAAACTAACCTTCAATTTATGAATTTCTTCTACAGGTATGCAAAAGAGACGAATAAAAAAACAAACGAATTAGAGAAAAATTAACCTTGAATTGAACTTTTGGAATCGATTTAGTCAAACTTTGAACTGAGCTTCTGGAATTATTCCGACATTACAGGTTGATTGGAATCAAAGCCCTAGAAGGAAGAGAGCTAACCTTCTTTGCTTAGGTTCGAATCAAAACCCTAAAATGTACGACAATAATAAAGGAGTTTCGAAGCAATTTTACAGTCCCGTGTGAACATTGCTGGTGTTTGGTAACTTCGTCGGATATTCTCAGTTTCTTTGTTTAAAAAATATATAACAAAAAATATTTTAGTACATCCAAATTGTCAAAATTAATAAGAATAAAATTTTAACCATATGTTCCATAAAGACATTTTTAACGGTTCATTACTTTTTTTTATTAAATTTAAGTAAAAAATAATTAATTTTTTCAATCTGATATGGCTTGCTCCAATGGTGCATCAAAAGGGAAGGGTCATTCGGTGGGCCGACCGGCCGGTCAACCGATAAGGCTTAATTTATTTATTTATTTTTGACCTGTGTGAATCTTTTTGACCTATTTGAACCTACCTATTTGAAAGGAAACCGATCGATCGGTTGGTCAATTGGCCGAACATTCGGCTGGTTGACCAATTGCCCCCGTCCAACAGTACAGAATAGTGAAATACTGAATTCCAGAACTTGTCCTCAGTTTGATGAAACTTTTGTTCTATTCTCATTTTAATATCAATTTGGTGAAACCATTGGAGTGAGAAAAGGCCACTTTTTTATCAAATTTCAAATCTGATGCAGGATTTGATGTACCATTGGAGATGGCCTAAGTCTTGTGGGTCAATTAGGAACATGGTTAAAATTTATTTTTTGATTTTTAACTTATTTTAAATTATATTATTTTTTTATATATTTTTAAAAAAATAAAAAATTAATTTTTAACTAACTTCTCAAAATATTCCATTAATTTGTGACATATATATATATATATATTTGCTATCTGGTATTGAAAATACATTGGGGTTAGTTAGTAAGTTGCCAGCTTAGTCCGAAAATATATAAATATATAGGACGGTCATGAATTGAAGTCACAATTAAGGTTGGTGGGAAAAGTTAGTCGTGCTATTACTTGAATTGCCCGTCTTCTTCTAATTATATCCTTATTATGATTTGAAAATTGCAACTAATATCTTATCATCTGTAAATGTTATCATTCCGAATATTCTATTTAAAACTAAAATTTGTCATTGTTATTACACATTTACACGATTTTTTTTTGTTTTTTTATAAAAAAATACAAGACTTAATATATTGTATATTTGACAAGAAATTGTTTAATAAATTACATCAGAGTACAAAATAGATTCTAGAAGGAATAAAGAGAATCTTAACACAAAGAGGTATGAGTCTCCACATAGGGAGAAAATCAAATCTCTATGTAGAGAGGAGAAAATCTGCAAAATTCAGATAACGCAGCGGGTGAAAGGATTCAAACTATACCTTATGTGATAGAATCCGAAACAAAGAATCTTGTGGGTAAATCATGTGCTTCACAATCACAAACTAAGAACATCTAGCAATGGAGTTGTAATGACTAGAAATGGAAGAAGGAGAAATATAGAAGGAAAGGAGTTATTTGGTGCTCTTATTCCAACCCAACGAACAAGTTATGAAACAATACAAAAATTCAATGAAATGGGCAGTGTATTCCCTCCTATATCTATACACATAACCAACCCCTAACTGCCCTAACAGATTCAGTAATTGGAATTACAATTCCTAATCGACTCCTAATTGACTCCTAACTGTTCATAACATTTCCTCCTTCTTGAAAAAGCCTTGTCTCAAGGCTGGAAATCTGGAAATTGTGAGTGAAATTCTTCATAGTCCATTCAGGTAGCATCTTCAGGAAATGTTCTTGACCACTAAATCAACCATTGCACTACTGCCTTGTTGTTTCGGTTAACCATCCGCCTTTCTAACACAGCCACAGGCTCCATTTGTAGCATTCTTTCTAACACAGCCACAGGTTCCATTTGCAGTATTCCTGCATCACTAACTAGAGGAAGAGTTGGAATAGGAATGACTTGTTGTCCCAACTTTTTCTTTAACAATGAAACATGGAAAACAGGATGTAATTTGGCAGAGCTAGGCAAATCCAGCGTATAGGCTACCTTGCCCACCCTTGCAATGACTTGGAAAGGTCCATAGAAATGTGGAGATAGTTTCATATTTCTCTGCAAAGCCAAGGAAGATTGTTCGTAGGGTTGTAATCTCAAATACACCCAATCACCAACTGCAAATTCTCTATCACTCCTTAGTTTGTCTGCATAATGTTTCATCCTGTTTTGTGCTTGCTGCAAGTTCTCTTTAAGTACTCTCAGAATGGAAGTCCTTTCCCTTGCCCAATTTTCCACTGCTACTACTAGTGACCCTCCAATGTTCATGAAATTGTGATCTGGTGGTGGCTGTCCATAAACTGCATAAAAATGAGTTGTTTTGATTGAGGAATGATAAGAAGAGTTATACCACCACTCTGCCAAGGACAGCCAAGTTGACCACTGTCTAGGGCAATCACTACACATGCACCTCAAATAATTTTCCAAACACTTGTTCACTATTTCAGTTTGCCCATCTGACTGTGGATGGTAAGCTGTACTAAGGCATTACTCAATTCCTAAAACTCTAAGCAATTCTTGCCAAAACAGACTTGTGAACACAACATCTCTATCAGAAACTATGGTGCTTAGGAGGCCATGAAGTTTGTAAACATTGTCTAGGAATAATTGTGCCACATCCTTAGTAGTATAAGGGTGAGATAATGACATAAAATGGGCATATTTGGTTAACCTATCCACCACCACAAAGATAATGGTCTATCCATGTGATTTAGGAAGACCCTCAATGAAATCCATAGAGATATCAATCCGTACCTTTTCAGGAACTGGCAAAGGTTGGAGTAACCCAGGTGGGTGAACATTTTCCCCTTTGAACCTCTGGCAAACTGAGCATTCAGATATGAACAGCTGAACATCCTTCTTTAATCTCTTCCAATAAAAGGTCTTTTTGATCCGTCTAGTGGTTTTGTCTATACCTGAGTGGCCCCCCATAGATGAGTTATGATAAGCAGCCATGAGTTGCTTCCTGAGATCTTGTGAATTCCCCACTACCAGACTTCCTTTGTAAGCTAGTGTACCATTTGCCCAAGAGAACCCGTGATGAGAGTTGGGGTCCTGCACTAACTCTGTTATAAGCTGTTGTAATGCCTAGTCAGTTTGCCAACTGAGTTTGATTGTGGGAAGCCAAGTAGAATCTACTACCAGTAAGGTATTTACGGTGGCAAGAAACAAATCTTCCCTCATTGATAACGCATCAGCCACTTTGTTTTCTGTTCCATGCTTGTTGGTGATCTCATAATCATAGCCAAGTAGTTTGGTAATCCATTTTTGCTAGAAGGGGGTTGCAACTCTTTGCTCCAGTAAATATTTCAAGCTTTGGAGGTCAGTCTTGATAATGAAATGCCGCCCGAGCAAGTAATGCCTCCATTTGAGGACTGCTAAGACTACAGCCATTAACTCTCAGGTGGAGAAAGTCAAATATTTCCCTGACAATCCTTTACTCTAAAATGTAATTGGATGCCCCTCCTGCATTAGTACTGCTCCTAACCCTCTATCTGAAGCATCTGTTTCAATAATGAATTCTTTGGTGTAATTAGGGAGAGCCAGGGCTGGTAAGGTCATCATAGTGAACCTGAGAGCATGAAAAGCTGATGTTGATTCATCAATCCAATTAAAAGACTCATTCTTCAACAAATTGTTTAATGGAGCTGAAATTTGCCCATAATTTCTCACAAATCGTCTGTAATATCCAGTTAAACTAAGGAATCCTCGTAACTGTTTAAGGGTGTTAGGAATTGGCCAGTTAGCCATGGCCTCAAGTTTGCTAGCATCTGCAGAAACACCCTTGTCGGAGACCAAGCGGCCAAGGTACTCAATTTCTTGTTTGGCAAAGACACACTTAGACCTTTTAGCAAACAAACTGTGCTTCTATAAGAGTTGCAAGGTCAACTTTAAATGGGATAAGTGCTCATTCCATGCTTTGCTAAAAATCAGTATATCATCAAAGAAAACTAAGATAAATTCCTCAAATATTCCTTAAAGACCTCATTCATGAGACTTTGAAAAATTGAGGGTGCATTTGTCAGCCCAAAAGGCATGACTAGGAACTCATAGTGTCCGTCATGAGTCCTAAAAGCTGTTTTTGGTATGTCAGAGGCATGCACTCTAACTTGGTGATATCCAGCCCTCAAATCAAGCTTAGAAAAGAAAGAAGCACCACAAAGCTCATCCAATAACTCATCAATTGCAGGTATTGGAAATTTATCCTTCACATTAATGGTATTTAAAGCCCTGTAATCAACACACATACGCCAAGTTCCTTCTTTTTTTTTTAACTAACAAAACAGGTGCTGAGTAAGGACTAACACTTGGTTGAATGACCCCTGAATGAAGCATCTCTTTGACCCGTTTTTCTATCTCAATTTTTTGGAAATAAGGGTACCTGTAAGGTTATATGTTTGGAGGTTCTACACCTGGTTTTAGGGAAATGTGGTGGTCTTGGCTTCTTGCTGGAGGCAAGTTTTTGGGTTCTTGGAATACTGTTGTAAATTGGGACAACAACTACTCCACTTCAGGTACATTAGTTACTGCTGGAGAAACAACTTGTATAGCATTAATGTGAGCCACAAACCCGTGAGGTTTCTTCTGTAGTAATTTCTGCATGTGTGTAGCATCCACCAACTTGGGTTCCCCTTACTTTCCACCCCTCAGAACATGCCTCCTATTGTTGAGGGTGAAATCCATATTGAGATTTTTGAAATCCCATTTCATAGGACCCAGTGTAGCCAACCATTGAATCCCAAGCACCATATCACACTAGAAACACAACCCTTTTGAAACCTTTACAAGCTACACTGCTGGTCATCTGTGTTCCATCAACAACAAACACTGTCAAAGGATCAATGTCAACAGTCTCGACACCTGCTTTCTTAACCATTTCTTGGTTCAAAAAGTTATGGGTGCTACCCGTATCAATCAAAATCACCACTTTTTGTTTCTTGACCAACCCATGTACGCTCATGGTTCTGTAAGAGACTGAACCAGTTATTGCGTTAATAGAAATCTACAACTCACCTTCTTGTTCCAAGACTTCCTCACCTTCTTCCTTCTGCGTAGGTTCTTGATCGGAGTCCTCTTGGTCCCCATCCAAAACATAC